CATATTTTACTTTTTGGTCTTATTTGTGCAAACTAAGAAGCTTTTAGTCCTATTTTTATAATTACCCATTCAACTTGCTAAAGAATGGCTCTGGTCGTATATTATTGTGTCATCATATATAGATTGAACGAAACGAAGTTGTCATCGTATACAGTTAGTTGGGCTTAGCCTTTTGTTCTTTTCCGTGGCCCAGTTAAGAAAGACCTCATCGCTTTCTATTAATGCCAACACAATCATATTTTGAGGGTCTTATATATTTTCTTTACTTGCATTAATTGCTTTTTATCATATACGAAGTACTATTATTATTATTCAACTATAAACTACTAATTATTATGTATGATTAATTATCTTATATTTTTATTATTTGTGTGTATCCTTCTATATATGATTTCGATCTAGCTCGTGTTTTCATGTTCCAATTGTGTGCCACTTTTTTAATATGATTGATATTATAGTCATTAAGGTGGTTGTTATAGTACTCCGCTAATGATGAATTACACAATTGGGATATATTGATTGATACAAGTTGGTACGATACGATATCTTGAGCCCTTTGAGGGTACACAAAAATTTGTCTATTGTTTGATATTTTTAATCATTTGATGTAATTATGTAATCAATGTATATAAATATATAAAAGATTAAGAATTAGATATACACCAATATGTAACGAATCATTTGGCTATATTTAGATAAGTTAATACACCGGATAATGAACAATAATGTTCATGGTTAGCTTTTCTAGCTAATATTGAATTAATGAACAATAATGTTCATGGTTGGCTTTTCTATAATAGTCATCATCTTAAACAGTTTCAGCTTGCCTGTTTTTGTGATTATCACGCAAATTGGGAATTTCACTGCCATGGACCAATCACCACCTGAAGGAATCGACCACTAGCCTTCTTTATGGGGTTGTCTGTTGGTCTCTCTCGAAGATCAGAAATGAGTTTCTTTCGACCGATATTCGCATCACTCCCGAGATCCTGGCACAATGTATCAAACTGTAGCTAGGCCGAGACTATTAGGAAGGCTTTGATACGAGACCAGACCATTAACACTACTCGTTCGTTCCGCCAGACAGTGGTGGATGTCTCCTGGACGTCACCACCACCCGAGTGGGTGGCTCTTAATACTGACGGATCTGTTATTTCTGAGATCGGATAAGCACCTGCAGGAGGATTCTTCTGCGATGTTGATGGTTGTTGTTTGACAGCTTATAGCGGGAATCTGCTCGATAACCAAGGCTGAAATGAGAGCGGGTGTAACAGGATTGCAGATGTCGTGGAAGAACGTGCATGTATAGGAAGGTACGAGTGCAGCTGGATTCACCAGCTGCAATCCAACTTCTGTTGAGAATCAGTGAGACCACACACCAGCACTCTTCTGAGGTCGTCGATTTATGTGAACTGCTGGACCGAGACTGGATGCATGATTAAGGTTCAACACATTTATCAGGAAGGCAATCAGACTACTGACTATTTAGCTTGCCTTTGTCATAGTTTACCACTTGGTATACATTATATTTCTAATAGTGATCCTACTTTGTCATTTCATTTATTGTATGACTTCTTGGGATTTCCTAATCTCACTCATATGTAGTGCTTTTATGTATTAGAAGACTAGGAAATATGCTCACTAACAATTGAGCGTGATAATTTTCTCTCTCATATGTATTTCTTTTAAGTATAAAATAAGCCGGCTAACAATAATTAAGCGGAATAATTTTCTCTTTTATATGTAGTGTTTAAGTATAAGATAATCCTACTAATAATTGAGCAAGAAAAATTTCTCTCTCATATGCAGTGTTATTAGGCTCAAGATAAGTTGACTAACAAATGAGCGGAAAATTTTTACGTATAAGAAGATATGCTTGATAATAATTGAACGAAAACATTTCTCTCTCACACGTAATGCTTTTAGTTATAAGATATTCCGGCTAACAATTGAACGAGAGAATTATTCATTATATGTAGTTCTTTTAAATATAAAATAAGCCGACTAACAATTAAGCAGAATAATTGTTCTCTCTCACACGTTAGTACTAATTTAACTATTGATTAGCAAGTCCTTATTTAACTAATAATCGTTAATTTTAATATTCATTGTATTCACTTAAACTTTAGATGCCAATCACTTATTGTACTCACTTTTTTTAGAATAGTATTTAATTTTAAAATTAATTTAATCCTAAAAATTAATAGTAGCAAATTCGAGTGATTTCAATTAATTTTTCCTAATATACTCTTCATTGAATATTTATTGTATGAGTTATACTTTATGAAATTAGCTTATTGTACTCTTACTTTTAAAAAATATAAAATCCTAAAAACTTATTTTTATTTTAATATCTAATTAATCATAAGTAAAAATATATGCACCAACTTTTATTTCCCGTGCGTATGCACGGGTACTATACTAGTACATTATATTTCTAATAGTGATCCTACTTTGTCATTTCATTTATTGTATGACTTCTTGGGATTTCCGAATCTCGCTTGATTATGAATGCAAGATAGATATTGTTGCGTCTCGGCTTATAAAAAAAGTATTCTATTGGTTTGATTTTTTACAAGTAATAATGTTGAGATTATGTGACTATATTTTTTTTATATGGTGAGAAAAGCAAAATTAACCAGATAATAATAGGGTTATTTTCAAATACCTCCCTTGAGGTTTAGGCATTTGACTTTTTGAGTCAAAGTATCAATATATCATTGATAAGCCCCCTCTACTATAAAATACATGTATGGCAGAATGGGTCACCCCTACTTAACCAAGATTATGATTTTTTTACTTTTTAAACTAAGACAAGGAAAAATAGACACATTAGTGTCTTGTAATAATAGTACTGTAGCAAAACTACATAAAGTATGTAGCAAATCCATTTCATTTTCATGCGAAGGAGTATTAAAACTTATAGGGAGTACTACATAGTTTTTATAATATTTCATATGACATCAATATTGTATATATAAAGTTACTAAAAATTTTGAAGTTTCAACTGTTAGAGTTTTTTAGATTCAGAAAATATGAAATTCAAAATTTTAATCCATGGCTCTTCCATAAATAGTATAAATTTACATGAACTTATTTTGTTTTATTAACCAAAAAAATAAAACAAAAGTTAATGTTTTTTTTTTATTTTTTAACATTGAAATTTGTATTTTCTAATTACATAATAATTCAGAAAAAATAAAAGAACAAAATTACTTAGAATAATTTAACTATCGTTGTACTAGACTAATATATAAGAAACATGTTGAGTGTACTTTATTGACAATATCGAATGTAGTGAAAATGGTGTTGACAAGGTTTATACATTATTTTTTCATATCGACAAAGTCTATATTTAAATTTTAAGATGGCCTGGTGCATGCATGTAGATAGCCTAGTATGCAGTCTCGGGAGAGATACTACTATCATTGACGTAGGCACGATGATCTACTGAGGTAGGGTGGCACAAACAAAACTTTGAAATATTTTTATGTAATTTTTTAAACGGAGAATGGATGCAATTTTAAAATTTGAAATGGCCGGAGCCTAATATAGCCCATAGATATGTCTCGACCTGTAGAAATTCCGGCCCACGAAGACCTGCACTAGCTTGAGACATTTGGGGTGGGTCCGCTTTGCACTGACCTACCCTACTTAATATATACATATACATCAATGAGCTGAGTTCTTTTTGAAAAATATTACTGAAATGAAACTTATTTACAAAAATACTACGTAACTAATAATTACTATAATTTCATCTCATAGTCACTTAAGTATAAAAATCAAACATGTGTGAATAGAAATTTATGTTACTATTATAGTCACTAAAGATCATAATTTGATGACCTAAGTAACTCTATATTCACTACATTAAGTATATATAGTCAACTTTTTGTAAACAATACTCCCTCCATCCCGCAAAATAGTTCCCGGTTTCCGTTTTGGGCCGTCCCAAAACAAAGTTCTCATTTCCCTTTTTGGAATGTTTTTGTGTGGCTATCATTTATTTACATTTTTTTTACTCAACCACAACCATACATTTTCACTTTATTCTCACTTTCTTAAACTTCAATCCAAATCAATTCGGGAACCGTATTATGGGATGGAGGTCATATTAATTTCAATCATATATATGTAATTTCATATACTTGTAGTAGAGAAAAAGTAGAGAAAAATAATAAAGTATTAAAACATAAGATGTGTTACAAAATTTAATTTATCAAAAAGTGAAATGATTAAATGATGAATACGTATAAATGGCTTCCAACCTACTCATGTATTTAAGTATTACGAAGAAGGGGGAGTTTTTTTCCGATTTAATGCGGATTAATTAATTAATTACGTTTTTTATGTGGGTTAAAAGTATTTACAGATATACTGCTGAGATTAACCATGGTTGGGGAAAGTCGCCTATGTAACACCGCCCCCAAGTATTTGTACTTTATCAAATTATGTATTGAACCCGAGAAATGAATAAACGCATTTTACGTGATTGTGAATTTTTTATCATTTCTTCTACGTGAATAGTAAAATTCACGTGGGGCCCACACCGGAAGTGGGGGCCGCCCGATATGTTCGGGACCACATATTATATTCATTTGGGTCAAGGTAACATGTGTATAATGGTGGACATCCTTGTTGGACCATATAAATTATGTGAGTAACCGTTTGGGCATATAAAGCCCATTTATCGGTACTGAAGGAATATCAGATAAAAGGGCCATAATAAATTATGGAGACCACCAAATTAAAAGTTGGGGAATATACATTCATTCTTATAGCCAATAATAATTGGAAGAACGAGAGATATTTCATTTTACCCGATAAGACGAAATATAGTTCAACAGTCCGGAAAATACAACTTTCGGGGCCGAGTGTACACTTAGAGACTCAAAGGGATGATCTCCCACATAAGTGGGGACCACCCCACGACTTGGGTGCTGCAAATGTCAAAGAGGGCCGCACACACCACATGGAGAAGCAAGGAGGAAGTGATTGGGAGACCAATCAATAGGAGGGTGGGCCTTTGCCATGGTATTATTGAGAGAAATGCCAAAAAGGCATTCTCCATCACCCCTAAACTCATAGGCTCGACCAAGACACTCAAAGAGGAGAGATAAGGTCTGGAGAAACTCCATTTTCATCCACCATACTCGAACCAAAGCTTAAGGAGAAGAAGGAGGGGAAAGAGAAGAGAAAGAAGGAGGAAAACTTGAGGATTTACAAGGTAATAACTCCATTAATCTCATTCCTCTTCCTTAATCTTCCAAATATGATTATTTAATCATATTTCATACCCCTAGGATCATTCTACATGTTATATGTGAAGAATGAAGGGTTGGAAGGTTGATTCATGTCCAAAACGGATTTAGAGAACAAAGTTGACCGTTTCTCCGGAAAATAACCTTTTTGAGGTTATTTGTATTGATATGGGTTTTATGATGATAAAACCTTGTTATTAACTTCTATAAGGTACTTCAAGAACTTTCACGGGGTTGAAAGGGTTGCCGGAGTTGTCGCCGGAGTTAGTTGAAGTTCACCGGAGTTTCACCGGGGCCAAATCGGGGAGGCTAGAACTTCATAAGCTTCATTAAGGTGAGAAGACGGCTATATGCTTTATAACTTTTGATTGAGGCATGAGATTACCTAAAGTAATCAACGATATGTTCTACGGAATGATTAAATTTAATCAAGTATGGGCTTATGCCATGATTATATATAAAACAAAGTTGAAAGGCATGTTTGTATGTTTGGTGATTAAAAATGTGATAACTTATTATGTACAATGATCCAGGGGTCAAAAATGGTATTTTTGGATCAAGGACTTCAAGTAGAATGTGCATATAAAATTTCACGTTAATCGGACTTCGTTTGGGCGGTCAAACGGGCGTTGACCGCCGAGACAAGGGTGATACCCGACCGGGTAAGATGGATACCCGACCGGGTATTGATTAAATTCGGCTCCAGAAGCCACTGTCACACTAGACCCGACCGGGTAAGGTCAGGGACCCGACCGGGTCTCAAGTAAAGTCAGTTCCAGGGGCTTCTGCCCGGCCCTACCCGACCGGGTAAGGTGGATATATACCCGACCGGGTATTGGTTTATACTCAAAACGGGTAGCTTTTGAGTAGGATAACGTGGACCGATCAGGTGGGACCCGTCCACATTGGTTACTAAGGATTATTATATGACTATAGGACTAGGTATTGTCCATAGTTAAGTGAATGCAAGGTTAGCCATATCCAGGTTAGGGTTTGGTTAGAAATACGGTTGAGGTTGAGCATCCTCGGGACGGTAAACAATCCCAGAAACTCGGTGGGGTTGAGTATCCTCGGGACGGTAAACAATCCCAGAAACTCGGTGAGGTTGAGTATCCTCGGGACGGTAAACAATCCCAGAAACTCGGTGAGGTTGAGTATCCTCGGGACGGTAAACAATCCCAGAAACTCGGTGAGGTTGAGTATCCTCGGGACGGTAAACAATCCCAGAAACTCGGTGAGGTTGAGTATCCTCGGGACGGTAAACAATCCCAGAAACTCGGTGAGGTTGAGTATCCTCGGGACGGTAAACAATCCCAGAAACTCGGTGGGGTTGAGCATCCCCGGGAGGGTAAACACTCCTGAAACTCGGTAGGATATTATGAAGGTAGAATGTAGCCCGTGAGCTAGGCATTCAGGAATGAATGGGAAAGGTTGGGTAATCGCCATACCTCTAAAAGACTCTTTGTGATAAAACGACCTACGGGTCAAGTATTTTTACAAGTATATACAGTATGTATTATCTTGGGAATGGGGTAACAATGGTTACACCTATAAGCATATGTATCACCCTATTTTTGGGTCTCGTGTCTGAAACATTAGTTATTCCTCATATAGCCTGCTTGTCACTAGTACTTCTATGGAGTACTGACCCCTTCGGGGGCCCTCACATTTTTCAGGTTGAGGCTAGAGTCCTGCTACCTGCACCTTTGCCCAGGGTGAACTCAAATAAGGAAGACGTGGTTCGTGCTTCCATTCTTATTTGAAATTGTGAAATTGCTCATGGATATTTGAACGATGTTTTCTATTAAACTATTGAAGGGCCTGTGTGCCTGTGTTTGCCACATGTGGCTGAATGTCAAACTTATTTTATTTCCGCATGCATTTGACTAATATATTGATGTTGATCGTATGGGTTTACTAATCGGTTTGGCAATAGAAATCTTTCAGACGCCTTGTGCGATTTGATAAGAATGAACTACGTTGTTCTTATTGGGTTGTACGGCGGTTGTCTACGTGGCACGGACGCGGTCCGGGGCGTGACAGCCTAACCATTTGGCGACTTATAAGTCGCCATCCGGTTGGGCGACTTATAAGTCGCCAAATGGTTTGGCGACTTACCCTTTAAAAACCAGACGGGCATCACCACAGACAGACAGATTGAGCGACGCATACCCCCAAAGAACCTCCGGCGAAACGAGCTTCCCCTTCCCGATTCCGGCGACTGCAGCGTGTAGGAGGCCACTCCACCTACCAAGTATACTCCCCAACCATCTTCTTCAACCTCTAGGTAAGTAAAATCCCAAACTTCATCTAATTTTTCAACTTAGGGTTTATAATGTCTAAATTTAGAATTTGAAAACTATGACTTGTTTTGTGAATTGATTTGTTGTGTAATGTGAGTATGTATGAAATGTTGAATGTTAATGTGGATATTGATGTAAAGTTTTCATTGTGTTAAGTATAATAAGACTTGTTATATCAAATTTTGAATTGGGGAAATTTAACATATAAATGTTAAAGTGTATAACATTTGATTTTGAAGTGTTTTTTAATTATATCATATCAATGGTTTGAAATATGATATGTTCAATTGGGAATATTAATCATTTAATGTCCTTATTTAATTCATTTTAATGTTATTAAATATGAAATGATGAGTTTGGGTGTATATAGTGTGTATATTAATGTGTACTCATGAAATTTGGACATGTATTCTTATTAGAATATGGATTTCTCCAACTTCCCAATCGTGTGTCATTGGGGAGGGAACGTATTTGTGGAAGGTGGCCAAATACGCCATGAAGGTAGTAGAAGCAACTTTGTCATTCTTTCTCGTGGCGCATGTTTGCTCGAGATGCTGCAAAAAATCCATGTAGCCGTTCTTTGTGCTTGAAAATGAAATTTCCCCTTAACGGGGGAAATTACATGCATATGTCACTTGTTGATGAGCTAGCTGTCACAAATATGGGGTTGATAATTCAGATGGAGAGTATGTCCTCGCTGGAGATATACATTGAGGACACCCACTGCCTGATGAGCCTCCACGTCTGCTGGGACCACATCATATACGGGGCGAGGACCCTCTGGGCCGTCGGTATGTTTTTAATCGTTTGTATGTATGTTATAGTATGTTTAATATAATTATATTAAAAATATTCATATTAATATATGATACAAAATTAATGGTTAGATGGTTGTTTGCTGGTCTATGTCGCACATCATCGGCTTCTGGGCTCGGTGTCTATAGGGATGCATTTGATCAGATGTTTGAGGATCAGGTATGGTGTGTATAATATAACATTAACTGTAATATGTATAGCAGAAATACTAATTACTTATCTTTATGAAACGGATTACATGGATGTTGTATACAACTGAGATGTTTGCAGAGTTGCCCCCCGCTGGACGAGAGCATTCTCACATATGGCGAGCACGTGTGCCGTTGATATGTTTTGACATTGTTGAGCTTCATTTGCCTGATCCTGTACTGCGACAGTTTGGCTATGAGCAGGGCATCCCAGCACCTATCGACACATATGTAGATCTTCATAAGCTGGATAGGCGTGGGAAGCATACGGAGGATTGGGTACTCAGACATGTCCGATACATGAGTATATGGGAGAGGCGAGCTGAGCTTGTAGTGACTGGGACACCGACATTAGTCCTATCTGTTTCGGGAGACTACATGGGATGGTATTACAGCATCACGCGGTTGTTTGTGTCTCCTTCTTTCAGACTCCCTACTCACCATTATCAACCTAGCTCCTTGGCTTTGCACTTGACGGTGAGTATATTACTAATTACTAAAGTAAGTCATGATCTTTATTTAACACTTTTATTTATTTCTAAGTAATTATAATTCTGTTTCATATTTCAGACACGAGCTTTGCAGTGTATACATCAGCGGGCGACTGCCACAGTGAGTGATACGCATGACATGGACATGTACGGTCAGGCTCTGACGGGCATTGCTTCCTTGTGTTCAGATGTGTTGGGGCGGGTTGACAACGGCCATCTTATACATATGCCCCCATCTCAGGCTTCTATGCCATCGACATCTAGTGCAGCGGCGGTTTCATCATCCCAGACTCAGCATGACAGAGTTGTTCTTCAACCACGACAGCGGCGTAGGCGTAGGCAGCAACACCAAGATCTCCATGACCAATACGATCAAGAAGACCATTAGAACTTGTGGTTTGTTTTTTGTATTGGAGTTTTTCTTGTACACTAGATGTTATAGGAACAATTGACTTTATTTTACGTATTTCCACCTGCAAACTCTTTTATGATGTGCTGATGTGTTTGGGTATGAATATTGGATGACTGTACTGTGTTATGAATATTGGATGATTGTGCTGTGTTTTACTGGTTATGAATCTTCTGTTTTGTATCTTGTTTGTATCGGGTATGTATGTGGTGTTTTGTATGTTTTGTGAGCAGGTGTTTTGTATGTTTTGTGAGTAGGTGAGGTGTTTTGTATATTTTGTAATGGTATGTATCTGGTTGTTTGTGAGTGTACAGATTTTGCAGGTGCAGGGGGTAAGTCGCCAAACCGTTTGGCAACTTATAAGTCGCCATCCGGTTGGACGACTTATAAGTCGTGAAACGGTTTGGCGACTTTCCCCGATCATGGTTAATCCCAGCGGTATATCTGTAAATACTTTTAACCCAACAGCAAAAACGTAATTAATTAATTAATCCGCATTGAATCGAAAAAATAAACTCAAGAAAGGGCTAATCAATCATATATTGATATTTTTTTTAAGTGTCAAATACCCAAACCTCAAGTGAGGTATTTAAAAATAACTGGATAATAATATCCTTTAAACAAGGAAATGGTTTTAAAGAAGTGCGAAAGAGCAAATAATAAAGTTAAAATTAAATATTGACATATAAATACGGTGGTAATTATTATTAAATCAATATCAAATCCATCGTACTGGACAATATCAAATACGAAGTATCTAGATCGAGTACATATTTTTGTTTACATTTTGTCTAGACACGAGACTTTTGCAAACAAAAATAAAGAAGATACACTCGAGAGAATCCCATCATTCTATCCTACGGTTGACTAATCAGACTTTGGTCATAATGAAATTAGCGTAACGGGTTGTTGCCATGTCGGTCCATATCCTACTTAAAGAGTGTTTGAGTTTGCTTAAAAGAAGCGTTTTTCACCTTTTGGCTTAAAAAAAGTTGAAAAGAGTGTTTTCAAATGACAGTTTCTGCTTAAATTAATCACTTAAAAGCTAAAAGGTGGAAGCAGGTAGAAGGGTGCTTTAAACTGCTTCTCACTTTTTCTATTACACAAAAAGTACTTATTTTACCAAACACTACCAACTTTTACTTTTCCAGAATCACTTTTTTCTCAAACACTACCAACTTTTACTATTAATCACTTATCCCAAAATCACTTTAAAAAATCACTTTTTTAAAGTTGAAGCAATTGCAAACACTCCCTTATTACCCAGGAGTTTACCAAGCTAGGTCTGTCAATGGGTCGGGTCCGGGCCGGAACGTAGTGTTCCAAACCCGGAGTCGCTAAGTTAAATATTGATCCGGACCCGACCCGTTTACCCAGTGGGTCTGAAAATTTGGATCCGAACTCATACCCAACGGGTCTCGGAAACGGGTCGGGTAGACCCGGACCCATTATAAACTTTGTCAAAATAACAAGACCTGTAAATGGAATCTAAAGCAAAGTGTGCAAATTTAAAAGCAAAATACTACATATATGCTAATTATACAAAAAAAAATCAAGATTTCCTATAGAAAATTATTACTTTTATCCAATAAAGTATCGATTCTTGTAGAGAAGTATAACTCCACACTCTGTGTCGCTTTCTCTCGCACAAAAAGCTCGTAGAATAAACTAGAAATTAAGTCACAAAAATGTTTCTTGGACTACTGAGAGTATAACGACATATTATATACAATAATGTTATAATAATATTGATAATAATAATAATAATAATAATAATAATAATAATAATAATAATAATAATAATAATAATAATAATAATAATAATAATAATAATAATAATAATAATAATAATAATAATAATAATAATAATAATAATAATAATAATAATAATAATAATAATAATAATAATAATAATAATAATAATAATAATAATAATAATAATAATACCTCCGTCCCACTAAGATTGTCCCATTTTACCTTTTTGGTCCGTCCCACTAAGATTGTCTCATACCAAATTTTGCAAAATTTGTGTGGCTCCAAATCATTCTTACTTTATTCTTATCTTTATCAATTCAATATCAACCACATAACACGCTTTTCATTAGTTTGCGTGTCACTCCCTCTTGTCTCACTATTAGTGGGACAGAGGCAATGAAAGGATATAATAGGTATTTTAATTATAGTTAATTAATTAATTTTAATTAGAGGTTGTATTTAGTAAAATAGAGGCTGCATTTAGAATTGCCCTTATTGAAATTGTGAAATTGCACAAGTAGGGCTCCGTTTAATAATTGGATCTTATTTGCTAAAGAAATTACCCTAAGTAAGAACTAAACATTACCAGAGCAATCTGATGATGGCGGCACACCGGTGACCAAGCTTAGACCCATACAAGGGTGTTTTTGTCCAATCATACTACCTTCGTTCTTAAATAAATGCAATACTTTGACTTTTACACTATTCACATGTTCTACTTTGACTACGTTTTATTTATTAATGTAATAATATTATTTTATGAAAAAAATATTGTTAAACTTGTCTCTTTGTAAATTTTCATAATCTATTTTTTTTTAATTTTTTTACTAATACAAAATCATTTATATTAATGGTCAAAGTTGTGTCTCGGCAAGTGTGAAATGTTCGTTGCATTTATTTAAGAACGGAGGAAGTAAGTCTTACTCCTATTCATGAAATTTTAGACATTGGCTCCTATTTTCCACTTTAAATATGTTTTAGTCTTATATATTTTGAAAATTCAATCTAATTGTTATTTGCCCCATTTGTTATATTTTGAATGTACTTGTGAATGGATGGATTAGATGAATTTTAATTACAAGACACAGAGTTAGATAATATGCAAATGTTTATTGTACAAAAGTGGATAATAAATGAATAAAAGTGCACTCATGAGTATTAATTAAGATTGTCAATTTTATTAAAACATGTGCACATTTTATGATGTACTGTTATGCACTTTTGTGCTCTACAAATCATAGTGGCCAACTGGCCAACACTTAACTTGGTTAATGTAGTTCATCAGAAAGTTCACTTAGGGTATGTTTAACACAACTAGCTGAAAAAATACTTCTATAAACTTTTTAGTAATTGTTAGCTTTTAGTGAATGAAAAGATCTTAAAATAAAAAGGTAGTAGTTGTTTGATAAAAAGTTGACTGTTTAATGTAGTTCTGCTTGACATACAAGATGTTGAGACTAATTAATGCTAAAACTTACAGACTTTTTTCATATGCAACTCACTGCAGCATCTAAAAAACAAGGCTAAAGGGTCAAATAGGCCCCTAAACGTATCCAAATTGCTCAATTGGCACCCCAAACCCAAATAAGCTCCGATCCAACCCACCAACCAAAAATACTTGTCCAATCCCAACATCCAGCCGGTTAACTCCCGTTCGCCCCCTTAAATGCCCAGTCAGCAACCTATTCCTTATAATTAATGCTGAGTCATTAATACACCCAACCCCAACCCAATTACTCCATTTAAAATTGCAGACCAAGGAAAGCGGACGAGATACACCCAACCCACTCCATGTCTGCGTCGTCTTCGTCTGCACTGGGAAGAAAAACGACCTTGTACGAACCGAACTGTCTGTGTGGTGTGAAAGCTCGGTTGTGTACAACCCGGGAAAGCGGACGCCAGTTTTATGGATGCCAAAGATGGAAGGTAATAAACTCTCAAATATTAAGGGTTTTTTCAGGGGGGTGAAATTGTTTGTAATTGTTGTGGAAATTAGAAGAAATTTGGGCGAAATTGTTTACAGTTGGTTGATGTATAAAAAACCTATTTTTTTTTTGAACCTTTAGAAAAAGGGTTGAAAAATGTGTTTACAGTTGTATGTATGTGATTTTGACTGTAGGATGGGTTAGGGTGTGGATATTTTGTATGGAAAGAGGACATAGTTGGTTTCCATGAAGACAATGGATCATACATGGGTGTTACTGGCAGATTGGAAGCCTCAATTAAAGAGCTGAACAGGGTTATGGTTGTTATGCAACAGGATATACAGAGCATCAAAATGGTTCTTGAAAGTGAAGCTAAAGAGAAGATATTCTGGAAGAGAATGTGGCAAGGACTTGTGATATTTGTGGTTGTAGCTGTTCTTGTTAAGAAATTGTAAAAGTTTGGATTTGTCTGCTAAGTATGGTCCTGTTCTTCTTAATGTCAGAATAGTCAATGTAGTTTCTAGCTATTGTTAGATTTAGTTTTGTGTTCTGGTTCAATGACAGTTAATCATTGTTATCCAATGTAAAACTTTGGAGTTAATGAATGAACTCAAATGTAGTTGTTCTGGTTGAATGTAGTTGTGACCTATTGTTGAACTTAAGTAGTGTTGTTAATGATGAATGAATGAAGGTTTTTTATATTCCAGCTTGTTATTGTGTTGCCTTATTATGTAGTTATGAATTATAAAACTTAACCAGTGTACTAAAATGCAAACCAACACCCATACACAACCCATGTGAAGAAGCAGCTTTACATAAAGAGTATGGACCCAAAAGCAAAAAACAATAATGCACAAAAGATTCCCATGTGACTCAAAAGACCACCCCACGCCATGTACTGATGTACCTGTCTGCTTCAATCAACCAAAGAGCACCCCACCTTTAAATCTGCAGGAAACCAATAATATAGTATAACAAACATCCTACCACAAACCAAAAAGCATATTCAAGACCCCACCTACTAAACCCAGCAGTATACATCCGAACATATAAGCCACACCCTACCACAAACCAATAATTCATCTCCAAGACCCCACCTGCACAACCTATCAGTTTATACAACACCCAACCTACACAACCAAAAACCATATGCAAGTCCCCACATTTACAATTAAAAACTGAAGTATAAAGCAGAATAATGCATACTCAATTTGTCATAGCATTTCAATAACACCCAAGAGTACAGATCCCAATAATTAAGTACTTTGACAACCAACCATTACATAGACAAAAATATTACAAAACATACATGCATCGACATAACATAAACCCCAAAAATACCAAGCCACCTAACTGCAGTACCCTGCAGTACCTCAAGTGTTATCACCCAAAAGCCATAAAGGCCAACCAACCAACCATATTTAAGTAGTATTACATTTCATACACCTAACACATTTGTTATACTACCTCCTCATCCCCCCCCACTAGATTCTGTTCTTCCACCCCTTCCTCTTCCAGCTCTGCCACCCCTTCCACCTCTTGCACCTCTTCCACCCCTTGCTCTTGCAGATGTTGAAGTCGAAGTAGCTTCACTTGTTCCACCTATTGCAGCAGTTTGACCTCTTCCACCTCTTCCACTTCTTGCACCCCTTCTTCCACCTCTAGAACCCCTGCCTCCCCTCACTGACTGATGACTGCCTTGTGGAGCTGTTGGACACACATGTTTTTGATGGCCCTTTTGCTTACAATGGGAACAGGTCATGACCCTTCCCTTTCTTGACAGCTTGCCTGCTGGAGGCTCAGATTCCTCCCGGGTTCTTTTCTTCTTTGGGCGTCCGGTCTTTTTTTTTGGTGCAGGGGGGTGTATTTTCTCTCCTTGTACCCTAGGCCAAGCCATTTCCCCATTAATGGGTTCCAAAGTGTAGGAATAAGTTCGTGTGAAGGCAGCAATTGAGTAACAACCATGAATATAACTTTCTGGATCCTTGTCCTGATCAAACATTGCACATATAGCATGCTGGCATGGAATTCCAGTCAACTCCCAAGATCTACAAGAGCAAGTGCCTCCCTCCAGCTTTACCTTGTATTGATACTTCCCTTTCTTAACCTCAAAGCCATCATCTCCATTGAATACCACCCTCCACTTTGAGCTTCTCAATATGTTAATATTCAGAATTTTCTTGATGTTAGGGCAAATTCTACCTTTCCATTTTGCAGCTAGATCTCTCTTTTTAGCAATTCTCTGTCTGCATCATTTGAATCCGTATGTCTTCTAGCATGGGAATGATAGGTTTGCTCCTACACCCCACCAGTGTTCGGTTAAAAGCCTCTGACATGTTGTTGTCAACTGCATCACATTTTACAGAAGTCCTAATGAAGGCTTTGCACCAGGTTTTGAAAGGATAATTTTCCAGATCTTGTTTGGCTACAACATCCTTTTTTTGAAGCTCTTGAAGCCACTCTTGAAGTTGTGACTCAGATGTGGACCTAGCACACATCCAGAACAGCTGCTTCATGTATTTCCCTCTGTGATTCTTGCTCCAGTTTGCATGTATGTGCCTTGCACAATTTCTGTGCTCAGCTTGTGGGAGTAAGGTCTGGATGACATTGGTAAGACCCTGCATATTTAACTTAGTAAAGTTAGTTCAACATCTAATTCAGTGACTGTGCTTATAATATACTTCATTATTTATTATCTCTAGTACTACCATTTAATACTAATTGATTCAGTCAGTTTACTTGTAAATGAAGAAGTAAAATTTAATAGGAAGTACTTATTTATTTAGTAACTAGTAACCACTACTCAGTTTACTACGTAAACACTTAAGAGTAGTACTTATTCTAAAGTAATTTTAAGCCAGTAATTTTAGTAGTACTTATTCTAAAGTAATTTTAGAATACCTAAGAAGTAATACTTATTCTAGAGTACTACCATTTTAGTAGTACTTATTCTAAAGTAATTTTAAGCCAGTAAATACTTATTAAGAAGAAATACCTAAGAATACTACTTATTTATTTAGTATGACTATCTAAATTACTATATTGTTACTATAATTGAGTTACTATTTCAGTTTACACAAAAACAATCCAGTTAGGAGAACTATTACTATAAAGTGAAGCTAAATTACCTTTTGTTGATCACTTATTACAGTCCAGGGGCTGCTATCATCTATTTCCAGATCATGCTTCAACAATTCTATAAACCATGCCCAAGAAGATGTATTCTCAATCTCAACTATGGCCCACGCTATTGGATACATGTTGTTGTTAGCATCCCTTCCAACAGCTGTAAGGATTTCCCCCTTCAAAAGTCCTTTTAAGAAGCAACCATCTAACCCAACAATCCTTCTGCAGCCTTCTAAAAATCCCCTTTTCATGGCACCAAAGCAGCAATAGATCCTCTGAAACATACAAGGGCCATCATCAACAACTCTGGATGTCATTATCTTCATGGTAGTGTTTGGGATAGAATCAAGCAACTCTTGACCGTAGTCTCTAAGGCGGTTAAATTGCTCTTCAAAGCTGGCATTTATTTTCTTCTTAATGCATCTGACAGCCCTCCTGACCATGCTTGTTGAAATATGAATGCCCAACTCTGTCTCAATCAAGTCTTTTAATGCCACATACCCAATACAAGGGTCATCCCTAACCTTATCTTCATATTTCTCTTGTATCCATTTTTGACTAACAACTCTCAGCTTGAACTTGGAATTGCATCTGTGTTTGGTGATCATGGTTTTCAATTGGAAGCATTTGAAACTATCTTCCCAGCTTGCATAGAAGCAGAAGGGACAGTTTTTTTGAATGCATAGTGCCCGGACTCTTTTAGATTCATTCCTCTTAAAGTAAATGTTTTTCTTGTGGTGCACTGCATACCTAATCATTGCACTCTTAAACTGTATGTTGTCCTCAAACAGCATCCCCAACTCAATCAAAGGGGGTTCAATCTCTGGATTGTATGAAGGATGATAATCATCGAGGTTGGATTGCACTTCATCTTCAGGCATATCATTGGTATCTGAATGATAACTGGGAGGATTATCAGAATCATACATGTTCATGCTATCCTCATTGTCTTCATCATTCTCAGATCCATAGTTGGCATTGTTCTTCTCCATACTTTCCATACCTTCCTCAGCCCCAAAGAAGCCAATATTCTGCTCCCTAACATCTTCATTCTCAGATTGTGACCCAAGCTCAGACCCTAAATCAGACATACAATCATCTTGGTTCCCCAAATCTACTTCATCATCCATGCTATCTTCCATTTCACTTGTCTGAATGTCCACATCACACAGCTCAACATCTTCTTCAGCATCAGACTCAATTTGTGAAGCTTTCTTTCTTCTTGGTTTTAACTTGCTTGTATGTGTAGGTCTGATTACATCATCAACAGAGGTCTGCACTTGTACTTCATAGTTTTGAACGCCTATTTCCCTTTCACCTAAAGGACCAGCATCAGCACGTACAACAGATGTGGAGGGTGACATCAAATACAGTTCACAAACTCCATCAGTAGAAGACAGACTCACCAAGTGCATTGTAGAAGCATCATCTACTAACTCCCTTAAACATTCCAATGGTTCACGAGGCAATTTATACATAAGCTTTCCAAACCCCCCAAATGGTCCAGATTCTATAAACTTTTTCAGATGTGGATAACTAACTACATCAGGGTCACTTTTAATAATCTCTACGCAGCCATTGGTATACTTCATAGGAGAACAGGTTTCAAGAGTGCCACCATAGTTCAAAATTAAGTCCAATGTCTCCCACATTCTGAAACAACGAGCAATGAAGTACTCAGCAAACAAGTATGAAAAACACAACACAAAGAACTACCAATTCACTACTCAACAAACTACATGAAAAGTGTAACACTTTAAACACATACGAAAACTCTACATAGACACTACAAACACACTTCTGTAGGCAGCGAAAATTACTTCATAACACTACTACACATTTTCTGAGTTTCAACATACTTCATAACACACTATTACAGACACAAAACTACAATACGAATCAATAAGGAATAACCTGACTCACTTCATTCACCTTAACGACTTCAACGCTTGGGATGTTAGGTCACGTCTTCTTCCTCTCTTCCTCTTCGCGCTCAAGACTTCAGTCACAGGCTTCTGCAAATTTGGTTTCCAATTTAGGGCTATTCACTTGGTGTTGGGATATGTTTTTTTACACGTAATTGGGTTGGGGTTGGGTGGATTAATGACTCAGCATCAATTATAGGGAATAGGTTGCTGACTGGGCATTTAAGGGGGCGAACTTGAGTTAACCGGCTGGATGTTGGGATTGGACAAGTATTTTTGGTTGGTGGGTTGGATCGGAGCTTATTTGGGTTTGGGGTGCCAATTGAGCAATTTGGATACGTTTAGGGGCCTATTTGACCCTTTAGCCAAAAAACAATCTTATTTTATAAAAAGTTCTTAAAAAATGTCATGCCAAACAGCCAACTAGATGTTTTTAGTGACTTTTTAAATAGTTAGACTTTTTGTCTAACTAAGTTGATTGTTGTAATTGATAACGAGGTACGCCTTTTAAATCCATGTACTTATGTGCCTACTCATTTTTATTTCAAAAGTACCATACATAAATTCATTTTCAAATGCTCTAAACTGCATATGTACATAGTTAAACGGATCAGACATATCGTTTTAGAACATACTACGTAATTCATTATTTGCATTATATATACTACGTACAATATTGGGCATTGACTCTACCGCGCAACGGGAATAGTATGTAGTAAAAAAATTGACTGATGGTTGAATTTATTGGGTTGGGGTAGATGTACCAAAGATTTGATTTAACTTCAAATTCTACAAATGTAATGATTATATTCCTTTGTAAACTTGCGCTTATGAATAAAAAAGAAACACCATTTGAGTATGAATGGAACATTTCTTTTAATTCTAATTTAAAATCAACATGTCATGTACTTTTCTTTATAATTATTATTACAATTTTGTATCTTGTATTTGTCTTTTGATCTTCTTGTTTTTTACAGACGGAATTTTGATATTATAGTAAAAACATCCTATGTGACTGAATTTATTGAATTGTGGAAAAATCAATTCAAAGTATTTTATCAACAAATCAACAAATATGTATATGGAAAAAAGTTGAAGAGTCTCCAATAACAAATTCAGCCATAAGTGTAACTCAAAATGGTTAAATGATTAAATCTATTGAAATATGGAAAAATTATATTTTACTAAGAATGTTTTTACTTGTACTGTTTTCAGTCCCAAATGAGACCAGACCAGACTTAAATAGACCAGAGCCGTTCAAACCAGACCATATATTCATAGCTATAAAATAAATAGAGACCAGATATTTACCAGACCAGACTTAAATTTCAGTCCAAGTAAAAATTTAACATCCTAATACTCCCTTCGTATTGAAACATTTAGTACAATAAGGTTTCATACAAAATGTAAGAGAAAAATAGTAAAAATAATGAATAGTGTTGAAAAGATGCATAAATTTTAATAGGCATGTCACACGCTCATTATTGAGCACGTAAGTCAACTCATACAAGGATTCTACATGGAATTAAGTTAAATAACACTGGTATTGTTCGAGGAATTGGCGGGGCTGATTATTGAGCCTATAACGTCAACTCATACACGTATTCTACGTGGAATTGAAAGAAATCAAATAACACCAAGAATGTTACATATTATTAGATTTTAATTTAGGTTAATTATTTGCATGTACCACACAATCCATAACAAGAGATGTTCTTCACTCTTACATCACAACAATCAACATACTTAGAATAAGAAGAACATAACAAGTGTGATTCAGGGTGTTAAAGGTATGAATCCGAACATGACATGATTTTTATTTAAAATTAAATAATTAACATCATAAGAGTATAAATTGCTAAATACCTCATATTAAAGTGGCTCCATGCAGAGACGTAGGAGCACACCAGAAGTCACCCATGGACAACGAGAACGTATTACCTGCAGATATGGATATTCTGAATATTTCACCATCGTATTTTAAAAATAATGGAGGTTATTCATCTTGATTTTGATTTAGTTAATATATTAACATATAGTTAATTTGTGTTAATTAAGTTTCCATGCAAACTTAGACCAAAATATCCTCTTTTTACTCGATCATGTACTCAATATTTAGACCCCATTTGGTAACACTGCAATTAACTAAATCGACTAATTCTGATGAAATTGATGAAATTCTAAATGAAGTGGTTGAATTGACTGAGTCTGTTTAATTATAGAAAAATTAAATTGATTTAATGAAATAAAGAAAAAATATATGAAAATAGCTAAAAGAATCTCTTCAATAATAACTTTAGTCAATATTTCCATAAAAGTAACACCTTACTTATTTTGATTATTACATAATTTAGCGTGTGAATTCAAAAGTTATATGTATGGTGAAAAGTTTGCTAAGAAAATTGATAAACAAAAAATAGGGCCACCAAACAAGCTCTAAGTACTCTAGTTATTTTTATTTCAATTTAGAACTATATTGTACTCAAATCATTCATTTGAGCCTCAATTTTACACTTATAATGGCAGGTCTAGACGAACCCTTTAAGATGCATGTCTTTAGAGACCGACAAAATAATTTATGGATTGTGTCACAATCCTAGTAAATACATTTGATTCGTTTTCACCGAAAAGTGTCATCTTCAAAGAGGGTATTGATGAATGAATGAGGAGATGCAAATATTGAGACATACTCAATTAGGTTGTTGGAGAATGAAGCTAGAGGTCTATTTGTGATGGGGTGCATGAAGACTGGTATATGTAATTATAGTGCATCATTGAAACCAAAATTTAATGGGGTTGTTGTGAAAACAATGATTCACGGGTTCCAAACTGAAAGACAAAGGCATTGTGATTTCTTCTACAAATATGACATTGACGGGTCAAGCTAATGTTGGTTCATTTGTGGTTCATTTGTTGATAAGTAATTGTGGGCAAGACGGGTCGAGCTAATGTTGTCTGCTTTCAAGGTTGTTGGTGTTGCATCTCTAACTGAAGAACCAAACAACTATTTTGCAGAAGTCTTAAAGGATGCTATGGATTACCTATCACACATGGCCATATGGGTGATGAGGGAGTGAACACAAATCAACCATCAACATTATGCTCTCACTCACCACAACTTTCTGTCAAAGACAAAAAATTCCAAAGATAAGAGGATTGGGTTCACACATTAAACATCCATCTGAAAAGACTAGACATTGTAGAAAATGCAAGAAGATTGGCCATAATGCGAGATTGTGTCAAGTTTCTCAGTTAAAGAGACAAGAATTCGAATTTGTATTCAATATTTTACATTTGATTAACCAATTAATTTATTGCTTTAGATTCCATTCATATAGTTTAAAATATTTCGTGTAGTGATAACATGTGTTATTGTGCTTGTATGTCTCAAAATTGTCAACAGTTTGATCTCAATGTACTTGATTTAGAAGGTTGAAGCGCGTAAGATAAAGAAACATCTTGTTACTAGATGCTAAAGCTTGAAATGTATTTTTACATTAAATTGCTATTGTATTTGATGTTACATGATGATAATATAACAAATCATCATTCAGCTGATTGTTTCATGTCACTATTTATGAGTTATTTTTATCATGATGTTAATGTGTTTAGCAGTACACCAAAGTGTCAATAATTTGATTGTTTTGAAGTTATGAGTAATTTTAAATTAATTATCTTGTCATTCTTTAGTTATTATCCTCATGTGTGTGTATTGCTACCATGCTTGGAAATAGATTGTTTTAGGAAATAGTGAGTTTGTTATGTTTGAAGGCAATAAGGCAGAAGTGGTGACATTGTAGCATAAGACTCTCCATGATGACGTTATTACAGATGAATATGATTTAATGAGGGCATATAAGAGGGGCTTATACAAGACTAGATTTTCCGTGAGACTTGATTTATGTTAAAATATAAATTATTTTTAGAAATTGTTAACCATATTTGAGATTATACTCAAACAATTGAATCGATATGATTATCCAATGCACTCAAAGTGAAACAAAATCATGAATGCAGACTTACAAGTACACAAAACACTTGGAATTCCAACAAGTGAAACAAAATCATGGATGTGCCAAAGCATCATCTGACTCTGAGAAAGCAACTCCAACAAAGAGTTTTGTTAATCCATAAGCTTAGCCAATTGGAACTCTGTCATCATAACAAATTACTACTCCGTACTAAATTACAATCAATTCTGACCTTAAGAAATGAGGTCTAGGAATATGATGAAAAATTGAAAATCACGATATATATATATATTCCACTTATTTCTTTTATAAAAAGAACCACATATTTCATTTATGAAAATTGATAACTACTAGGTATGAGAAGTGCAGTTTTACTATATCCGTTCCAAAAAACTTTGCCATTTCATAAATTTTGAACCTTGATTTTGATTAGTATAATATTATGGAAGTTATAAATTTATACTTTTATAAAAGTACTTTAAATAAAGAACATTTTCATATAATTTTTATATTATAAATAAGGGAAAAATAATTAAAATACCCCAAACTTTGAAGGGGTGTGGGATGAGCACCCCAAACTTGCATATGTAGTTTAAGTACCCCAAACTTTATATAAAAAGTTATTTTAGCACCATATTCAAGTATTATTTCTTTCAAAAATGTAAATTTATGATGTTAATTGCATAATATAAAATATTTTAGGATTCATGAAGGCACAATTAACATTCTAAACTTCCATTGCGAAAAAATAATGTTACCCCTATCTATATAATTGCAACACTTTTATTGTTCTATTTTAAATTATGCAATTAACACCATATATTTACATTTTTGAAAGAAATAATACTTGCCTATGGTGCTAAAATAACCTTTTATATAAAGTTTAGGATATTTAAATTACAAATGCAAGTTTGGGGTGTTTACTTCACCCCCCTTCAAAGTTTGGGGTATTTTTTATCATTTTTCCCTATCAATAATTTTCAATAAAAAGATATAATTGATCAAAGTTTTGAAAATAACAAAGTTTTTTTGGGACAAAGATAGTATTACTTTTAAGGAAAATAATATATTAAAGAGCATAAAAGGGAAATATACCCCAAAATCTCCACCCCCATTCCGTACGAATGACATATTTATGAAACTAAATCTTCTATTTCAGAATTCACAAATCACAAAAATCATTTGTAAAATCGCGAGTCTTGATTTAAACACTGGAGCAATTGAGAAGCCGGAAGTTGAGAGCTTGAGCAACGTGCTAATTAGTTGCTTCACACCTTCTCAAGTTCAACAATTTTCCGGTCATACGTCTCACTCTATACAAGTCATTGAGCGACTGAGCATTTTCCGCCCAACCCACTGCCCTCTGGTGAAAATCCAGACTCCATATTAATAACCCTTATACCTACCTGGCCTGATTTGTCCAACACTTGCTCGGTCTTGGATGTAGATTGGAAAATAATGCTGAGAAAGTACTATACCAAGAATATGTAGACCAGAATAATATATTCCGACATAGTATGAAGAATATGCTAAAAGGAATTTCTAATTAATCTATTGGAGAGAAAAATAGTCAATCATGCGGTCATGCCCTTTTCATTTTCGTTTGAACCCTTTTGGTGCCACGTCCTCCACGTGCTCTCTAAAAAGAGCATGTTGCGTGCTTCTCAATTTTTTTTTGTTGTGAAAATGCAGGAGACATGGTGAAAAATATGAATGAAGGATAAATTTTCCAACAATGAAAAATGTAGCAAAAATTAAAATACACTCCAAAAAAGAAAGTGTAACAAACATTTCAATAAATAGTGAGTACAATAAAAAACTATATGAAATAAATCTAAAATCATTTTCTAAAGCAAATTTAGTCAATTCAATAATAAATGTGGGGCTCATTTGCTGAAAGTTAGTTACCAAAACAGAAATTTCGATCAAAGTAAGATTAAAATTATTTTTGTGAATGAATTGATTAAAATTATCTTAGAAAGTCATTTTAACTAGTTTCATATATTTTTTTATCAGTAATATATATATTATTATACAATTCAACATGCGAGGGGGTGATTAATCGAAAGAGAGGTTACCAAACCCACTCTGAGTCATAGCTATTATAGTGTATGTTTTATTTATACACTTTGATAATAATTTTCATACATGCATTTTATTTTATATGTGTAGAGATTTAATATATTAGTATCCTATATGTACAATAAAACAACAATCGTTTGAAAATGAACATTTCTCTTATTCTTTCATGTTTATAATCTTACATTATTCTATGTATGAGTATTTAGTATTTAATACAAGTAAAACCAACAAACTCTTAAACATTTAGCCGTGTTTGAGCATGTACATCATTATTGCACATATGATATCCACTTTGGTCTGTTTTTATATTAAACATGTTATATACGGAGTATATTTTATTTTAAAACACATCACATATTGCATTTAACAAAAAATGTGTTTGTTCAATAATTGAATAGCCATCTTTGCAAGAGTTGATGTAAGATTGAGTTGTCAAAATGGACACTAATAATAGTAAAGCTAGATGTAGTCTTTCTTGTTACACTTCTGGTAAAATAAATAAATTCTTTTGTAACACCTGATGAAAGTTACATTTTTAAATTATTATCACTCAATATAATGATACATATATACATGCTATGCAGGAAAATGTGACAAAGAAATGCACAATGGGGGGTTGGTTGTTTGATCCCCGGTTCATTAACCTTGTCTAAAAACGAATTCTTTCACCAAATAATAAACGACACTACACACGTATAGAGCCCGTTTGGAGAACTCTGTTTTCGGCTTATCAGGCTTATCAGCCAGCTTTTTCACCAAACACGTAACTTTTACTTTCGCGCGCTGAATTGTGTAATAAGCCGAAAAAGTAAGGTTGGAGTTACTTTTCTGGCTGTATTGGCTGAAGTTACTGTAGAGGACCATTTTAGCTATTTTTACATATAATTTTTTCTTTAATTTATTAATAAAATATATTTTTAAAATATTTTTTTTCTTAAATCAGCAGAATCAGCCAAAACAGCCACTCCAGCCAGAATATCATAAATTTCAGCAGAATCAGACAAAACAGCAGATTTTGGTGCTACCATACGGCTCATAATGTCTCCTCTTCATCTCGATCCATTCTGCAGAACTCCAAGAAGCCAGTGAGGAGGAGAAGACAACCATATTGCCTGTGTATAATTTATATATACAGTTATAGGCCAAGGAGAGATCTGTAGCTCATCGATGGTTTACCCACTGGTTAAATTTTTATTCTAACTGCGGTGAATCCACATCCAGCAATTATTCTTCTATCCTTCGGATTCATGCTAACAAGGTTAGTTGATTATGTTTTTTCAAACGAACCCTGGGATTCGTAGAACTTTTGGAGTTCCTTATGGAATACCTGAAACATGAGGTCACTGCTGGCTTGTTTCGCTATCATTCGTTTGTTCTGAAAAAGAGTGGATTTTTCTATTCAAAAAATTGTGGGCAAGGGGTTGGTGTGTGCAAATGTGCGCCAGATTTGTTGGATTGTCAATTTTTTTGACTCTCCACTTTACCTAACGAGTATCTATGGGAACAGTTGCGTCTTAGGATTTCCCACATTATGGTGAAATTCATTTGGCTGTTTTAGATCTCCAATTTTGATTCTATTGGACAATTATGTGCGTCTGAAGAAATATAAACGTTTGGTTGTATTTGCAGTATAATAATAGTTCAATAAGAAGGCGGACTATAATGGTTTGTGATTTTACCATTCGTCATTGTACTTGGAGTTTAAAGGAAGAGAGTTGTTTTTAGAGATGGCGGATGCGGCACTGCTAATTGAAGCCTCGGGATCCAGGTTTAGTGATCTGGAACTCATAGGCAGAGGTTCATTTGGTGATGTCTATAAAGGGTAAGCAGCAAAATCTTTTTCCTGTGTAATATAGTATGGAGTATGTAATTCCATGCATGGTGCTTATGATAGATCATTAAGGATTTTCAGTCGTTCATGTTTTTGTGTTGTGAATTGACCTTCGGAATGGGGTTGGAAGTGGCAAATAGTTGGAACTTGGACGGAAATGAATAAACATATGTGTTATTTTTGTTTCTTTTCATCTAATAAGGAAATCATAATTTCAGAATCTAGGAAAAGTTCCTCCTTAATAATGTTCTTTTACTTGAATGCGCTTTCACAATGGGTTTTTGATTTAGGTTATTGTTTGATTGTTTGATACCACTAGCAATGCTCTAAAAAGGCCGCCACCTCCGGTTTTCCTTCTTATTTCAGCCCTTCCTATTGGGACTAAGGCTTGGACGTTGTCGTCGTTGTATTTCATCCCTG